GACGATGCCATAGGCACCCTTGCCGATGGGCATGATGGGGGGCTTGTATTTGGCAGTGACCTCGAACATGTTCCCGAATATGTTATACTGTATGAACCTGCCACCGAGGCTAAGCGTAGCCGGAATACTCTCCATCCCCCCGGCTACCATTTGCGGGGCCGGATGCTGCTGCTGATGTTGTGGGTCGGGTTGATGGGCGGCCTCGGCCATCTCAGTGCCGGCAGGCTGCGCTCCAGCCCCTCCTCCTTCCATACGAGCTTGGTTATTGAGATGGGATGTGCGATTCATGAAGGGAGAGGAGAAAATGGACGCTGAAAATGGTGAATGGAGCTAAAGGTTTGAATCTGTGGGGTCATGTTCTGCTGTTTTTCTTCTTTTTTTTTTTTATCTTTTTTTTTTTAATTTTTTTAAGCAGGGAAACCGTGCTGGCGTGTTCGGCCCTTCTCTATTTTTCGGTCTTTTTTTTTAATTCAATTTTTTATTCAATTAATAATTTTTTTTACTGATGCGTCACAGTTGGTCATGTCCGGCGAAACCTCGGATGCCGAACAAGAAACCAAAAAATAATTTTTTTTACTAACGAAATCTGTTCAAATAAAAAAAAATCAATCCTTTTTAAATAAAATTTTGAATTCAAATTTTATAAATAAAAATTTATGTAGCAAGGGAGCTTATCTACCAAAAAAAAAAATATCCTTCTTCTTTTTAGAAATTTATTCAACTAATATCTAAAATAATGTAAGTAAAATAATAAAACAAGATATTACTGTATATTAACCTGAACTATAAAAAAATTAAGTAAAAATACTTAAAATTTAATCATTTTAATAAAATATGATGAAAAAATTAAAATAATTTTATTTTTATTTTAAAAATTAAAATATTTTAGTTTTTTAATAAAAATTAATTAAAATGCTGTAGTGTTAGGTAATTTTTTTGCCTAAATTTTTTTTTGTAGATATGGTTGATATATATTTTTTATAAATGATTTAAAATTACGATATTTTAATAAAGTATCATATAAGAATATATTAAAATAGTCTATTTTGGTTTTAAAAATTAAAATATTTTAATTCTTAATAAGAATTAATTAAAATAATATAATTTTAGATATTTTTTTCTAATTTTTTTTAGGCATAGTTAATAAACTTTTTGTTTTCCATAAAACATACCCTACATACAATGTGTACACAAAAATTAGTCTGCACCATGTGTTGTTTTTCAATACAAACTACAAAAATATATATATAATTTAAATATAGAAATTATTAAAATATTATTAATAAATAAACATGAAAGGCATCTTCATTAAGGGCATTTTGATAATTTTAGTGCCTGAAATGTAATCCCTGCTAAAAAAACTCCTTTTTGTTATTCATTTAATTGAAACAAATAAATTTAAACATTTAAAATTTAATAAGTAGAACAATTAAATT